TACTGGATTTTGCATAAGGTCTTCTCCAACATCGTAAAGGAGGGTGGCCCTCTTTGCCACAGTGATGGCACGATGATAGATTTCTACTAGTATTTTTACCTTTTCCTTTACTGTTGTTAGCACCTGCTTCACTATCAGTACTTCTCTTCTTGTTTTTCTTCTTTTAATTTTCATATTATCTTTATGCTTCATAGATAAGGCTCCCTCAATTGCTCCTTTTTGCCTCATGATCCTTTTTTGCTTTTGTGTTTATAAAGCATTTAAGAGCTCTACATGAGATATTTTTGACAGGTTCCTTTTGTTTTCTAAGATTTTAATGGTAGCCTTAAATTTTTCAAGTAACATTACTATTAGTTTTTCAACAATCCTCGAGTCAGGTGGATCAGAACCGAGCAATTTCACTTTATTACTGATGTTGAGAAGCTTGTTAGAATACTCTTTAATCGTTTCTGATAATCTTCTGTAGCTCAAAATCTCTGATCAAATTTAGCGCTTGCATCCCTTTGATTCTCTCATCACCTTCATACTCTGATTTAAGATAATCCCATATTACTTTTGCTTATTTGAGTGACATGACTCGAGTAAAAATGATTGATTATACTGCTGCAAATAGGCAAGCCTTTGCCTTCGACTTCTTTGTCTTTTTTTCTTTATAATTTTTTATTTGACCTATTATGGGATTGTTTAGTAGTAGAGGAATCTCATAATCATCTTCTACTACTTCTTAGAGGTCTAGTGCATCCAGATAGGCCTCAATCTTCACATTCCAGATTTGATAATTTTTACCATCAAAAGTAGGAGGAGTGATTGATGAGAGGCTGGTTTCTGCGTCCATGACAATCACTTGAAAATCAATCTAAAATACTCATAAATCTCTTAAGAAGAGATGCTCTGATACCAATTGTTGTTATTTGTGAAGTTATAGCAAAAAAAAAAACAAAAACAACTTTAGAAGATAAGTTAGTTTTTCATTGAATTCAAAACTTACATTATATATATTTGAAAAGTAACTAACTACTAAGTTCATGATCCTAAAAATAGGTCATGAGTATACATGATAAATTAAAAAAATACTAAACTCCTAAAACATGGGAAGCACTACTTTGAAAATTTTAAATTTAAATACAAATAATGTTACTGACTTGACAGCCATCATAAACACCACTTTTAACACAAACTCAAAATTGATCGACTATATAGAAGGTTATTAGGTTAGATGTGTTGATGACATGAAAAATACATTAGGATATGCTTCCTCACTTAGATTGAGTATTTACTCATGGTCATCAAAGAAGTAGAGTGTAGTAACTTTATTATCAATTGAACTTGAGTATGTAGCAACAGCTCGTATTGCCATATAAGCAGTCTAGTTAAAAAGGATCATAGAAGATATTGGTGAGAAACAAAAAGAATTAACAATAATATTCAGTGGTAGCAAATCGACAATTGCCATTAATGAGAATCTAATTAGTCATGACATGACCAAAATAATATTGGTTATGCTCCACCAAATTTGTTTTGAAATATGCATAGTGGCTTTTAAGGTAACCCTGTCTTCTTGACCCCATCCAAGAAGAAGGCACTATAAAATGCATCAATATTAATCTTGATCTTAATGGCACTAGTTGGGAAAACATACAAAATACTCTAATTTGTATTTGTTGGCATTCCTAAAATAGATGGTTGAGAACCATTTTAATTCACTCCACAATAGGTTGTATCGATTCCTTAAGGAGGTGTTAGTAACTTAAATATATTTATAAATGTTAACAAAGTACTTGAATTTTTAAATATATTTGATACAATTATATTTTGTTTAATACTTGATTTAATTATTATATGAATAAAGGCCTCATTCTC